CCTCTGACAAGTCTAAGGTGATGTATCCTTGTATAAAACTGAGTCGCCCCCTAAAGTCACCATGATAAGTTTGGATGAGACCGCAGAAGATTGAGGTGAAATCCGTTTATTTGTCCTTCTAAATATTTGCCTGTCTCTATTCCACAAAGCCTTGCCATATGGAACTGCCTAGTCTACGCTTAAATCAGCAACTATGTTCACCCTCGGTCTTATAGTTAAATCTTTTTACTAGCAGTGTCAGATGCAGTTTACTCAATTTAAGGGGTATTTTTTCTGATTGCATCACAAAAGCATCATTCAGTGATTAGTTGATTTTTTTTCAATTATGTTCCATTTGAAATGAAAGAACAAGCATAATGAACTATGCCGCAGTCATGGTTGCTAAAAAAACTTCCTGATTTTAAACTACGCAGTCTTGTGTTGAGGGATAAGCAGAGAAATTTGATCATCTAAGGCAGAGTAACGCCGAGGCAGTATTGCAAGGCGCAATAGAGTCTTTTTGCTCAGCCTAAATCAGCACCATTATTTGCCATGTGCAACATGATCTCTAGGGTTTCCCGTTTGAAGGTTCGTTAACATATTCGATCCTCAGTATTAAAGATTAGGTTTAAAGGGATGAGTTCCTCCAAAATGCCATGGAACTACATGAAAGCGGCCTGAAAACACACTGACGCATATCAGCCGCAATCATCACTTCTAAACATTTTAAAATATCTTCAATAATTGCATTCATTTTTTACCAAAATATTGTTATCAAATTTTAACCACATTAGCCCGCTGTCAACGATTGAGATTTTGAGAAGGAACTATGAGGTCGAGTTTCACTGTCTCTACCAATTGTGCGTAGAATATATTCCCTAATTTCAGCTGCTGATGATTGAACACCTCCTTCTTCAACTGCCAACGAAGATATAGCTGTTGTTGCCATTGAATATGTGAGGTAGTAAGCCTTAGAACGCCCTCATCTTAACGCCTTGATTTCTCAACTTTCTTCTCACCGTGATCTTTCAGTAGTGATTTTCAAGGCTCTTTTTTGGGAATTTCTTATGTTCTATGTGCCAAATACTGCATATTTGGAGCTACTTTTCAAGAAGATGGCAATGTCATCCTTTGCAAAACAGATATTTTGCTTTTTAATTCACAAATTTATCCTGTTATCGAATTTAGACCAAAGCATTTACACATCTGAGGATCTGAAAATGTCTCTTAGAGATAAGAACAATAAACCTACTTTTTGCTTTAACTCTCGGCTTTAGTAACGGACCATTTTGGGCTCCGCCATTGTGCATCAACCAGGCGGTCAGGCATCCAGGCTTCTCTGTAGGTAGACAGTACACATTCTGTCCAAGTATTTCACCTTTTGGTCCCCATTTAAGTCTCGGAGAGCTGCACAGCACCATCTTATAAAACTTTATCCAGCTAACTCTTTTTATCAAGAATT